CACCCCCTCCCCCCTCAATTATCTAATGGTCCATCTACAAACCATCTGCTTATCACGTGATCACTTCAATACGTTGGCGTTTCCAACCAAGTCTCAGTGAAGCAGACAGTCAAAACTGAGGCTTTCAAAAGTGACCATGTGGAAAGAAGACCCGACTCGGCTTGTAAAGATTTTGAACCTAGTAGCTTTTATACGTTTGTTTTTATAACTGTACTCCACGTTCGAACACGTATCAAAAAGTTCACTGCTATTTGACTTAAACGGCATCCAAGTTCACAAATCTGAAAATGAAAAACGTAATTTATCTTGTTATTTTACTTCACAATGCATGCATCGTTGGACAAGAAACGAACCTCATGATCCGTCATGGACAAAGATTTCAAGATTGTCATCGATGGCTGATCACTGACTCTGAAAGATACAAGACAATTACATGCAAAACCAAAAGTGAGTTGAAGATCAGTTATAATTCGATAGATGAAAATAAATACTTATTTTCAAATTTCCTAGCATTGGTAGCCTCCTTCGCATGCGCAGACGTTGTTGCTACAGAACAACTCGATAATTTTTGTAGAAAGAAGTACTCAAACCAAAACAACTCAGCTTGACAGCTGATAGAGTTATGTAGTTATTTTGTAATTATGACACTTTTTCCATTTTATAGGAATATATATTACAATTTTCAGGCTGATATTGTTATCTTGTGTCTGCTATGAAGTGAATGAATAAAACAAACTGCTCTAACGCAATTTTTGACTGCGACACCATGGTGTCGCTAAAAGTAACATGAAACTACTTTATGTCAATCAAAGTTTAAACTTTTTTGACCCAAGCTCCTCATGTGAGGTTTTGCAATAGCGCATCGCAACCGTGACGTCATAAAAACGAAGATAAAGGCCTTTTRCAATAGATCACGTGTCAAATTCCCCTATAGCAACAAGCCTCTGGCGGGCAAGCTTTCCAGACATTCTTTCGTGACCTTTCCAGAACTATAGTGTCTGTTTTATCCTTTTATTCTTTCTCAAAGCCGTTGATTTTCCAGAAGTACTTTGTTCAGATATTTTTCTATCTTGTGAACGTGTTTTAAACGTTTCAAATCAAAAACAGAAGGTTTTTTAGCGACTCGAAGACGAAGCGTCGAGGGTGAGACGCACGTGAAAATGGCGGATTTCACGGGTAAGTTGTTTACATGAGTTTTCTGTTATTTCAGAAACTAATGTTGATCATTTCATAGAAATACTTACAACTATATCATACGAGTTTATTTTCGGACTCTTAACTATGATTTTGCTAAACATCGCCGAGTTTAAGCCATTTTAAGTCCAAACAAACTACCTCTTGTGCTTGCGTTTTAGCTGAGTATATTCTCGGCGTAGCTAGAGGTGTTATATTAGTGATACACCGGATAGCCAAGATCTACAGTATATATGAGGCAGTTCTTTTTTTAATATTGATATGCAAAGAGCATATTTTAATTTTGTTTCAATATTTATTGCGTTTTAGCTGGGTATTTGACGTACGAGACCTCGAATACGGACCATGGAAGCACCGAGTCCAAGACACGATTTCACTGCAGTGTTCCTTTGTGTAATGGGGATTCGCGCTACAACCCAGCACTTTCTTTTCATCGATTCCCTAAAGACGCAACACTAAGAAGTGCCTGGATTACAAAAGTAAGGCGAGACGAAGGACCCTATTTCAAGGTAAATATGAAAAATTGAATGGTCTTTGCTTTCTTCAGTAAGATAATAATAGTTTTGGTCTCTTTTCAGATAACACACAGCACGAGGGTTTGCTTAAAACATTTCTTAGACAGTGATTACCGTCCCCCAAACAACTCAGGAAAAAGACTTCTCAAAGCTGGGGTCGTTCCTACAATGTTCGACTGGTCTGGTAAAACCACTCAAAGGAGAAAATTGATTCGACAAGTTGACAGGTATATATATTTATATATAAAAAAGGAAATGTGCCAAATTTACTGTTGTGAAAAATCCAACAAATAAATTGTATGGATATGACTGTTATGAGGGAAAATAATGATAATTCATTCAGAGTGCTGTCTTTGCCATTAATTTTACTTATTACTTCTGTTTTAGTGGGACTCAGACTGACGAGAGTGAGGATGAGAATGATAATGATGTACCTGAGCCCTGTCCTGATTCTGAAGCAGCACCACAGCCTGAAAGAACTCCTGTTGAAGCA